GTGGTTTTGGAGCCTGTCCTGGAACTAGCTCTTGTAGACCAGGCTGGTCTCGAACGTCAGTGGTGTTTTTTGGAGAGGCGGTGGGAACCAAAAGACAGGGCTTAGCAGGAGGAAGTAAATTGCCGAGGCCGAGGATTTGAAGGTCAAACCTAGTCTCCAACCTGCTTCCTTTCATCCTGCTACCTGTCAGGTCCGCCAAGGAAAAACCTCCTCCTCCAGCACTCACTAGCGCCCTGTGAGTCTGCCCAGGCAGACAGAACCCTCTGAGATGGTGAGCCAAAAAAAAAAAAAAAAACCGTGAGGAGTGGGGTGGGGTGAATGTGGGGCGAGAGAAGGGAGGAGGGGAGGGAGAGGGAACTAGGATTGGTATGTAAAATTAAAAAACAGGATTGCTTTTAAAAAAACAGAAGCTAGGAGAGCCATATAAATTAACTAACATTTGCATAGTTCCACCTTCCAGCTGTTTTGGTGAGCATTCTGTCACAAAAATAGGAAAAGAACACAGCAGTTGGTTTTTAAGTTTCCTGTAGCCTCTCTGCTACCCAACCAATGTTTTACTTGGCCTTTCTACCATTTCATATTTCTTTTCATTTTTGTTAACGAAATTAATGTTAACCAAATAACCAAGTTGATGCAACTAATTTGTTTTCTTTAAATAAAAAAAAAAAAACAAGTAACTTGTGTAATGGCAAAATACTGAAGATAAACCCTCCCAATGAAACAGGACCCCAGACCGTAGTAGGCCCCCAAACTGACTGACTCCATGATGGAAGTAAGGACCATTCAGGGCATAAAACTCAGCACTAGACAGCACCACCTGCCAAAATAGAGACAAAGACCTCATCTATCAAAGCCCTTAGCTCTGGGGAAATCTCTAAATATTCTAACCTTGCTTTTAGGCTTTTGTAGTTCCGCTTCTGTCTGTCTTTGCTAACTGAATATGTCAGCCCAGTACATGGCTTTTGTACTTATAAATCACCCTAAGAAAGGCTCGGGGCTATACTGGGGTCCCCAGCACCCAGTGTAGTCTCCGGCCAGCTAATAAAGACCTTCTGTTAATTAAACCCAAGTTCGAGCAGTCTTCTCTGGTGGACACCCACAACACTGCCTGCCTCTGCTGACTTGAAACACTTGCAATAAGACATTCTAAGATCCCAATTGGTAGGAGGTAGGTGCTAAGAAGGAAGCGTGGGGGAAATGGGGGACCTTAGCTGAGGAGCCGGAGGAAGCACAGTGGGGCGGGATAAATAGCACTGAGGTATTTGAAAGAAGACGTTAGGATACGTTGCTTTATAAGCTTACGTCCAAACACGTATACATAGGTGTGCACAAGCATACCGGGATGTATATGTTACACCACACGGAGCGACGGTGCTCACCCCAAGAGTGAGGCACCTCTAGCAAATCCCAGTACCTGGCAGGCGGAACCTCCCCTCTGTCGGTCAGAGGGACAGGTGGGACTCCCAAGCCCTTGGTGCCTCCCAGAGGTCGACAGTGAGTCCCTATTGCTGAAGACGCCACAGGCTTTGGACACAGGAGGTGAGCTGGCACTGACCTGGAAGCCCCTTCCCGAGGACCCAGCTCTCACAGCTTCAGAAGGGAGAGCAGCTGGTAGCCCCGCCCCCGCCCCAGCTGTAAGGCCTATGAACAGGAGTGCAGACATCTTGGAGGACTGTCCTGCCTACCACGCAGGGAAACTGGAGTTGTTCTGCTGTAATTAATGCTGCATGTGGCTGTGTGTTCTTACACAGTGCCCCAGCTCCAGGGGTCGAGGTGAAGGGAAGAGAAGATTACAAACGCTCCCATCTCCTTGCGGTCTCCTTTCTTTTTTCTTTTCTTTTCTTTCTTTGTTTTTTTCTTTTTTTCTTTGTTGTTGTTGTTGTTGTTGTTGTTGTTGTTGTTGTGTGTGTGTGTGTGTGTGGTTTTTCGAGACAGGGTTTCTTTGGGTAGCTTTGGAGCCTGTCCTGGAACTCACTCCCTCACTCCGTAGTCCAGGCTGGCCTTGAACTCACAGAGATCTGCCTGTCTCTACCCCCCTGAGTGTTGGGATTAAAGGCAAGCGACGTCACCGCCTGGCTTCTTCTTGCCAGGACTTAATCCCTGGGTTTGCCCTACCAGGCTGTGTGTGCAGTTGAAGTCGTCAGAAAGATGAAGAATTTGGAAATGGCATCTGGACACCTACCAATAACCTAGTGTGGATGCTTGCGCTCTTCCTCCACCTCTCCTGGTACTCTCCAGAGTTTAGGGGGAGGAAGCAGGAAAATGTGAAGCCATGGGAAGAAAACTGGCAGCTGTCCCCCCCTTCTGAGATCTTAATCCAGGAAGCTCTAATAGTCGCTCGGGGTAGAGAGGAAAAGCTGAGTTCATTGGAGTCCTTTATTAGACATATTATGCACCACATACAGCACGAGCCCTCCACCGCCCTCCTTAACTCACGCTCATGTGTGTGTTCATCCATAGCTGGAATAGGTTCCATATATATATATATTATACATCTATAAATGGCTGGTACCTGTAAATGAGGAAATTCGGGCTCTGAACGGTGGCCACGCACCGCGCCCCCTGTGTCTGCGCTCTGTGCGCTGGCACCCAGTTCGCGAGCTTCGGGCAAGGGGGCTGGAGGTTAAAATACACAGACGCACACAGACAGAGAGACAGCGACACGGGTCATCCTTGAATTCCCAAGAATGCCCCCTTTATTGTGTTCAGGGGCCGCTTGGATAGAGATAGCCACACGCCAGCCAAACCCACCAGAAACCACTCTCCTGCCATCAGGAACTCCTGAATGTCTCGTGCTCAGAGCAGCTGTAGGCACTCAGATCAGGGGATTACAAGAAATTCAGGATCTGGGGTCTCACTGCTCCCAACAGCCCTAACCCAGGGGAACAAGTGTCAGAGCTAGATGGAAACCTAGGCCTGCTGTCGGCCCATCACCAGGAAATGTCCTCACTCTCATTCTGCCTAGCAACAAGACAAGACTAAAATCTATCACAATTCCCATATTGTACCATCAGTGTCTTTCTTTTTTGGAGGGGGGGGTCTTTTTTCCTTTTTTTTTTTTTTTTCCAAAACAGGATTTCTCTGTAGCTTTGGAGCCTGTCCTGGAACTACCTCTTGTAGACCAGGCTGGCCTCGAACTCACAGAGATCTACCTGCCTCTGCCTCCCTAGTGCTGGAATAAAAGGCCTATGCCACCACCGCCCAGCTTACCTTCAGTGTCTAAAGACAATTGTGATGGTACTGGTCTCCCTGATCTGACCTTTCTGTGTCACAGTGGCTTCTCAGAGCGGGTCTGGAGTTCACATTTCATGTCTGTGGTCTTGCCCCAGACACATTGGTTCTTAGAGAAGTTCTAGAGTGAAGATAACTTATCTAGGGCCTTCTCTTCTTCTCTTCCTTTTCAAACTACTTAGGAAAAGTAGCTCGGATGTTCCAAGTTTTAATGCATACATTAAATGAATTGACATTCATTCATTTGAAAAGCCAGGCATGGTGGTGACGGCTGTAATCGCGGTACTCCAGGAAACTGAAGCAGGATATCCCTGGCAGTGCAAAGCCAGCCTGGGCTACAGAGCAAGACCCTGTTGCAAGGTGTGGAGACAGAGTGGGAAGAAGGAGTGGAGGAAGACTGGAGGGGGGAGAGAGGGAGGGAGGATAGGAGACACGGAACTTAAAGAGAATCCTCATTGCACCACACAGCTCATCTCAACGCCCCGCCTCTCTCTGCAAGGAGTAACGGTTTGGGTGTGAGGTGGCCAGTTCAGAACCTCCGTTTTATTTCCGAGGAGAAAATTTCATTGTGAAGTCCAGGGCCTTACCTCAGGAACCAGCCCTATAGGACTTGTTTTTGCCTGCATCTCCCGAGCGCAACCCCTCCATCCGTTCCAGTCACGCAGACCACAGTCTGGTACCCCCAGATCTTATGAAGTTCATCTGCAGCCTCCCTGTAACTAGCACCATTTGCCTACGAGGCACATACAATGACCCTTTTCTGAACTGAAATTTGCTGATTTTTTTTTGACATTTCAAGTGATTTTTAAGCATTTGAAGGAATTTTAAAAGATCAAAGCACTTTATTAAAATTTTCTCTGGATTATATTTTATGAATGTTGGGTTATTATTTGAAAAGTTTTACGTTTTGTAATGTTGTAATTTGGTAATATGGGAATTTAAAATTACTATTGTTATCCTCACTGTGTTCCTATTGACCAAATACTGGTTTTGTTGTTTCGTTTTCCCCAGACAAGGTCTCACTTATAAAGCCCTGGCTGACCTGGAATTAACTGAGTATAAACGAGGCTAACCCAGAACTCACAGTGATCTTCCTGCCTCTACCTGCAACTGCTGAGATTTGGTGTTTTGTTTTGAGACTGGGCTTAAGTAGCCCAGGTTGGCCTGGACGTCACTAAATAGCACAGGCTGACCGTGAACTCCTGCCCCTCCTCCCTCAACTGCCTGGTAGAACGGGCGCCGGGTGTCACCCCCTCGCTTCCTGGCTCTCAATGCTGTTTGTTTGTCGATCACCCAACACTAGACTGCAAGACAGGGCATTCACATCACGATTCCCAGACATTCCAGAACCTGGAGCACGTATGGAATCGCTACAGGTTTTGGTTTAGTTTTTTACGTTTCCGACCTTACTGTTCCTTATCTGGAGGAGGAGCCACGTCCGGCGTCCCCCAGCTCTAGGTTCCTCCAGCTCTATGCCCGCTGCTCCTCACTGACCAAACGCCCTGGGCCCTGGAAGGAAGGGGAGCTGGAGACGCACGTAACAAAATCTCCTTATTATCCTACTTGCGGGGTGGGGGTGCGGGACAGAACCGGTCCCACAACATCAAAGTGACCGGGTGAGCGCCGCGCCCTCTTTCTAGGAAACCCGCGCCGCAGCCTCCCGCGGGGCACTTCTCCCTCCGGCCACACGGTGGCAGGCGAGCGCGCTGCGGCCGTGGTATAGTCCGCCCTCCCCCCCCTTTCCGGGGACAGTGGGCTCTTCCGGCCGTAGAAAAGCATTGTGGGATCGCTGTGCGCCCTTTCTCCGCTCTCACGTGGCGCGCAGCAAGGCGGTGCTGGTGGCTTTGGCCTGGCGGGTGGTTATGGCGTGGGAATCCCAAGTGTCCGCGGCGGCTTTGGGCCGCTGCGATCCCTTCCCGGCAGGTGGGGAGCGGACACGGTGGCCGTGTGAGGAGCACGGCCCGCTGGACCCCATGGGAAATGGGTCGGTGTGAGCCGAGCGCTGTCTGTGATGTGGATCTTTGCCGTCCGCCCAGCCGCACCACTGGGCGAAAGTGGAGTGGCGATCGGAGTCGAGAGGTGAGATCGAGTACAGCTTTCCAGGCTTGCAGTCGGGGTAGAGCCGGCCTGAGGCTCTGTTCTTGTAGCCTTTGTGTTGCCCGTTCACCTTTGATCACTAGTGAATGTGGTGTCAAAAAAGGCATAAATTAATGCTTGGCAAGCTTTTCTTACCCCGGAGTTTGGTATCTTGGGTAAAGGAACTGCTTAAGTAACAAAATCGACCCTAACTTGTGTGGGGGCGGGGTGAATGGGCCGCCCAAGGCCGGCAGTGTGGTTTAACTGGTTCTTTTACCATTTGGCAGGTAGGTGTTTGAAGCTGACCGACACTTGCGGAACGACACGCGGGAGCGCAAAGGTGGCTCCAGGTAGGAAGGTTGCAAGGCACAAGTGTGGGGGTTTCTGAGCTGGGGTGCCATCCGACTCATTAGTCTTAATTGGTTCATTTGCATTGCTACTGCTTACCTGAGGGTAGGCCAGAAGGCAGCTGCAGAGAAGATGTCCTCTGCCTTGGCTCACTTTTATGGGCGTTGGGCTGTATTTTCTGAATACGTAGTATTGAACAGAAGTGGTGAATGCACATTGTGGTGGCTTTGTGAATCTCTCATCTGTGTATCAGCTAGAAAAGTTTTTGTGTCACAAATTGGGGGAGTTTTACTAATGCTAAAGATTGGTGGGGATTGGGCTGGAGAGATGGCTCACAACCATCTGTAATGAGGTCTGGCGCCTTCAGGCATACATGCAGGCAGAACTTAATAAATATTTTAAAAAGAAATTAATGGGGATTTATGTGACAGAATACTTAGGACAAATGAGTAACGTGGTCTTGTCTTTTTTTTTCTTTAGGGTGACCTTGATCGTTTGGAAATGTGATCTTCAGAAACGTGGATGACTTGAATTTTCTAAGAGCTGTGTCAAGGCACTGCGTAGGGGCACATTTTTGTAACAAAGCTATGAATAAATATTTAATATGCTGCTCTGAGACTTGTGTGCTAAATGCCTGGCTTCCTATGTAACAGCTAAACTGGTAGCTAGATTTATGCTTGGGTTGACATATAACTTCCCTTGGCTTAACAAGTAAGTACAGATTCGTATTCCTATTCAGTACTTAACACTCCCCCTTGGAGCTGGACTGGAAGGTCATGGGTGGAAAGCTCGCCTTGTGAGATGAATCCACATTCTGACAGAGTGGGAAACCTGAGGAAGCAGTTGGTGGGGGTGGGTGCCACTGCAAAGCAAAGTTGGGAGAACAGCGTGTGTGTTGTTGGCTATTCGTCCTCTGTTCTGGTTTTAGAGCTGGGAGTGTCAGCAAGAAAGCAAGAGGGTGGTTCCAGGGAGGTGGGCTGCAAAGAATGTCCTGTAGAAGCAGACAGAATTACAGCAGAGAAAAGAGTGTTGAGACATCAGATATTGATTGGAAAGGAATTCTTAGATTTATTTTTGTATGGAAATAAAGGCCTCAGTTGAGATTCCAGTGTTGGGGACAATTTGGCAAGCACTGTATCGCTGAGCTGTCTGCCTCCTCAAGGGGTTGTGATGGACATAAGGATGCTGAATATAGTCCTCAAAGGGACAGCTTGGCAGAGTTGAATGAACTACTGGGCTGTAGTGACTGAATGGCTATAAGAGGCAGATGAGACCCTGCATTAAAATGTGAAGAGGCATAAGTCAAGGGAACAGGATTGCAAGGAGCCTAGAAATGTCCAGCAAGGGGAAAGCTGTGTTGGGGAGGGAAGGAAGGTCCAAACAGGCTTTTTTTTTCCCTCAGAAAACAAGACAAAGACACTTAAATTCAAATCAACACTTAACAGTTTTTACAATATTTGTAAATAACCATTGAGACTTAATGCCACAAAATACAATAATACAAACAGCTTTATGGGAATAAAAGTCAACAGTCTGCAGACCAGGAATCCAAAGGCTTCATGAGAAGTGTAGGTCCTGGCTGGGGTGAAGAGAGATGGGTTCCAGGGAAGACAGGCATCCAGTGAGTTCATAGGGTCCTTCCAGTCAAAAGGCTCCACAGCACAAGAAGGCCGTGCATGAACCCTTAAATGCTTCTTTCGCTAAAGACATGCCCACGATTGTGGATAGTTCTCTAGTTCACAGTTTCAGAAGTGCCAGTGACAGGGCTTCTGTCCCACCCTTTGCCCCTTAACCAGGTCAAGTCTCTGTCTTGAGGCGGGCAGCCTGGACAGTTTTTATTGTTTTTGCTGTATGCTTTCCAGCCAGGTTGATTGTAGACAGCTGAGATTTTTCTTCAATCAGGCTGTCTTTAGAGCCATTTCTTCTCTAGAAAAACAATTGATGGCAGAAGAAAATGATCAGATTAAGGACTATCAGAAATACACCAGAAACTGGGCATAGAGGACACAAGTGGATAATCCCAGGAAGAGAGCAAGGTAATCCCTGGGCTACCTAGTGTGGCCACATTAAATTTATTCATTTACAACACTGGAAGTCATAATTAACACAAAGAAGTCTTACTGTTTGAGCGTGTCCGCTAGTTAACTACAAAATCAAATGTGTTTACTCTCGGTCTGACAAGATTCAGTACACATCGGTTATATTCATTATTTAAAGACTTTCTTAGCAAGGCTTGCTTTTCTGAGCAAGGCCAGAGACAGCTAAAAGGCCTCTCACACTATGAAACAGTTACTGTACAGTGTGGTCGCACAGAGTTCCCTGTCTTCTGGAACCCAGTGCCACTGTCAACTAGAGTGAGGAGCCTTGGAGATAAATCTGCAAAATATGAGAATGGAGTTCAAGACTCACTGCTAATATAGCCAAAGGAACTCTGAAAGCACAGGGTGTTTCTCAAAATTCTCACAGTCGCTTCCCCTGCCTGTGCACACTTCTGACCCCAGCACTCGGGAGGCAGAGGCAGGCAGATGCTGGGATTTGAGGCCAGTCTGGTCTACAGAGTGAGTTCCAGCCAGAGAGGGCTACACTGTGAGACCCCGCCTCACAAATAAACAGACAAGCATAAAAGTTAAAGAATGTTAAAAGTGCCGGGCCGTGGTGGTGCACGCCTTTAATCCCAGCACTCAGGAGGCAGAAAGAGGCAGGCGGATCTCTGTGAGTTCAAGGCCAGCCTGGTCTACAAGAGCTAGTTCCAGGACAGGAACCAAAAGCTAAGGAGAAACCCTGTCTCGAAAAACCAAAAAAAAAAAAAAAAAAAAAAAAAAAAAAGGTTGAGTTGGGCTGGCAAGATGGCACAATGGGTAAAAGCTGATGCAGTTCAACCCTCATTACCTGAGTTCAAACCCCATGTAAAACATCCTCAAAGCAGTTCTCTGACCACACACGCAGACCACACCCACATACATCATACATACTAAATAAAATGCCTATTTTTTACACAGTCATCAGTGGGACACCTTAAAACCTCACTAACCTGATGCACGGTAGAGCCACCAGACCCCTGAGCATCTGAGGACCGGGTCACTGGAAGTGGTGGCACAAGGTCTGTTTTCGAGCTGCCAAAGAGAAAGCGTCAGAACTTGTGACCGGGACAGACCTCAGATGCTGAGCTCTGCCATGCGGAGAGCTCTGCGGGCTGCTGTGCGGAGCCTTGAGACTGGCCACTTACTTCACTTCCGAGAGAACAGACCGCTCTCCGTCTGAACACTGGGACCTGCGGTACTGCCGGTAGCTCCGCGGAGAGTGCGAATGCCTGATGCGGACTGGGTCTCCCTGAGTCCTGAGAGGACAGCAAGAAGCGAGGAAACAACAGTCAGAGCAGGATAATGGGCAGCTTTTCCTCAATACTGAACTATAAAAGCAACCTTCAAACTGCCCTTGGTCATTCTTGTTTTTATGCTGCAGGTGGAGTTTGTTCGATACAGGGTCTTATGAAGTGCAGTCTGGCCTCAGGCTGGAACCCATTGCATAGCTGAAGATGATTTAAACCCCCATCCTCCCAGCTCCACACCCCAACTGCTGGGTTATAAGCATGCACCTCCACACCTAGCTCAGACGGTTTTTTTTTTTTAAAGAGAACTTGACTTTTATAGACTGTGAAAGCAGTAGTGATTTAAATTTCACAGTATTTTATAAAAGACAAATGTCCTACTGCTTAACCTGCATTTTCAGGGNTGTGTGTGTGCGCGCGCACACGTGTGAGAGAGAGAGAGAGAGAGAGAGAGAGAGAGAGAGAGAGAGAGAGAGAGAGAGAGAGAGAAAGTTTAACCACATTTTGTTGCTGGTGTTTAGAGACAGGGTCTCATGATGCAGCCCCGGCCTGGACTATAGACGGAAGTGGTCTAGAACTTGAGTGCCCTCCTGCCTCTACTTCAGACTCTGAGATTACAAATGTGCTCTACTTAGCCCGGCTTAACCACTAAAACTGAAACACTTCTGGGAATTCACTTGGATTCTCTCCAGGATGTGGAAGGACAAATCTGCAGTGAAAACAGAAGAGCTTCAACTTCCTGTAAGGAAAGGTCAGTTCTAGCTGGGTCAGTCTTCATTGGGACGTGCTGAGCTCTTCGGTGTTCTCAACACGCACAAAACTGGGGTGGTAGACCTACGCCCCCCTGACGTCACGATTAACAGTGTAAGCACCTACTAGACTATCACATATACCAGAAGTCTCTCAATCTGTGCATTGATTTAAAAAAAAAAGTGGGGGAAAAAAGCCTCAATTCTTGACCTAGAAATGATAGCAAGAGGGCTGGCAAACTTGCCACTGAGCCTGACCTAAGTTTGAGTCCCAGAGAGAGCAGCGTGACGGGAGGAGAGAGCTGACTCCCACAAGATGTTGGCCTATACACACGTGAGTGGCACGCACATAAATGGTAAAACAATATATAAAAGAGGGCTAGAGAGATGGCTCAGAGGTTAAGAGCATTGCCTGCTCTTCCAAAGATCCTGAGTTCAATTCCCAGCAACTACATAGTGGCTCACAGCCATCTGTAATGGGGTCTGGTGCCCTCTTCTGGCCTGCAGGCATACACACAGACAGAATATTATATACATAATAAATAAATACTTTAAAAAAAAGAATATATAAAAGAATATGAGAAGAGGTGGACAGTGGGAAGAGGCTGAGGAGTTTTTCTGGGTGTAATCTCAGCATCTGGGAGGCAGAGACAGGAGGGGCACCCAAGTTCTAGGCTGCTTCCATCTAACCGAGTCCAGGCTGGTTTTCTCTTGACCCACTACTAGGCAGAAACAGCAGATATGTGCTCAGCAGTCTGGGCTGCAGCTGGAGATTCCTACTAAATGGTGACAAAGCGTGCTCAGTTCAGTGTGGTTCTATAATGGGAACTGACTTGGGCTCATATGGCCAGGTTCTATAGTAAATAAAATTCTCCTATGTTAAAATGATAGAAAACTGTCTTTGTTATCAATGAGTGTCTCAGCAAAAAACTTATTTTGGACATTATTCACCATTCATTCTAGCTTCTCACCCACAAACAAGCCCAAGAGAGTCATGAGATACGGAACAGGAGCAGTTTTATGGGGTGTCGCTTGCTTGAGACAGGGTCTCTCACTCCAGCTTAGGCTGGCCTGAAACTCAATAGAGACCAAGCTGACATTGAACTTGTGTCAATTCTCCTGCCTCTGCCTCCCAAGTTCAAGGACTGGAAACCTGAGCCACCACAGAGAGAATAGTTCTATATACCTTTCCTACCTCTTCCCCACATTAATCTTGGTTAATGTACAAACTAAGACACTGCATGGAACATAAAGAAAGAATGAAGTGTTCCCTTCTGTGGTGGTCTGAAGAAAGGGAATGGCCCCTATGGGCTCATGTTTGAATCCTCAGTACCCAGTTGGAACTGTTGGGAAGGACTAGGAGGTGTGGCCTTACTGGAGGTATGTCACCAGGGTGGGCCATTCCCAGTGTGTCCTCTCTGCTTCCTACTGTGGATCAGGATGAGCTGTCGGCTGGTCCCGCCACCTATGATCCGCTGTCCCAGATCTAAGCTGGACCCCAAGCCTCTGAAACTGTAAGCCAAACTAAACGCTTTCTTTCTGCAAGCTTCCTTGGCCATGGTGTTTTGTCAAGGCAATGGAGATCAAGTATCCACCTTCCCACTAATAAAACTGCAAAGAGGGTCACACTCACTCTACTTTAGTGTACGGGATCTCCTTCAGCTGCTCTTCCGACAGTCCAGACGGGTCCACGAGTTCCTTCCTAGGAGAGAATATGCAATGAAGTGAAAGCTGTCGGGCCTGGATACATGCTGATACCGCTTGCTCCCAATTGACAAGCTTCCCTTTCTGCCCTTGTGGGACTCATGTATGATGTGCACAAAGCTGAGAGCCAGAACACGTGCAAGGAAAACTGGGAGAACCCCTTTCCTGTAGCTTTTTCCCTCCTTTCTGTACCCCCACCTTCAGAGCCCCTATCTCCCTATTGGTAAGCTTCTCTCCTGTGTCGGGGTCTTTCCTTCTATATGGTTTTGCTTCTCTTTGTATTCCCTTGTAATCGACTGGCCCAGCCAAGGTACAGTGACAGACAAGCTAAGTGACCCTGGAGAGCAGGAACTGGTGCAGCCGGCGGGCAGCTGCTCGTGTGTGGCACCTGACACCGTTGTCGGCTGCAGACAACACAGAACGAGCATAGGGACCTGCTGAGCTGTCAGACCCAAGCTTCCTGCAGTGGCACTGGTTTTCCTTACAGTCAATGCAAACCTGCAAGTATCATCCTGGACATAAGGCTCAGCAAGTAGGAGCACAGGCTGCTCTTGCAGAAAACCCAGCACCCACATGGCAGCTCACAACCGTCCATATTCCAGTTCCAGGGAATCTGGAGCCACTAGGCATGCACACGGTGCATATACATACATGCAAGCAAAACACTCGTGTGTGAGTGTGTGTGAGTGAGTGCATGTGTGTGGAGACTGAGTGTGTGTGAGAGTGTGAGCGTGTACATGAGTGCGCGCACGTGTGTGTGTGTGAGTGTGTGTGTACTATATACACACTGTACACACGGGAGAGACCCAGTACTCACTGGATGTGCTTCCACAGCTCTTCTTTTGCTTGGATATCAGGACTTCTTCTGCAAATAAATGAAACAGTATTCACCTCTGCAACATGTGTCCTCCGGAAACCTTAAGAGTTACTGGTAATAGTTCTGTGAGGTCTTATTTGCCTTTTGGCTGTTGACAGGACACATGAGCAGCCAGATCTATGACAATGATCAGTGAAAAGACAGTGGGCAATTTATTGACCAGTGCCACGTCTGTATACATAAAGAAAAATAAGACATTGCCAAAGCTTCATTTACGAAAGCCTAGAAGCCAGGATGGGCGGATAGATCTGCATCCTCAGCATTGCAGAGGCAGGAGGCTCACCGCAGGTTTGACGCCAGCCTGGCCGGCCAGTGCTCCACAGCAAGACCCTACACATCACAAGCAAAAAAATACACAGGAAGAAAGGAAAGAGCTTGGAACTTTTGGGGACATGTATACAGACCCTTTCTGGTTATAGCTGGACAATGGGCAGTGACCCAGGGGCTCTGGTTTCTGATCTTACTGTCTACTTTATTACATTTGTTTATGTGTGTACGTGTGTGTCATGATATGCTCAGGACAGTCTGCAGGAGCTGGCTCTCTGCTCTGACCAATCTGGTCCCAAGGATCTAACTCAATTCCTCGGGCGAGGCAGCAGGCACCCCTAATCTGCTGAGCCATTTCACCAGGCACTCACTTTTAAGCAGAAAGGAACTCACTTCTGTCACCCATTGTTAAGGCTCTCAGCATGGTCTGTGATGACCTAGCACAAGCAACAGCCATGGGGGAAGACAAGCAGCCCAATAATGTCTCCCCTTTTCTATGACGTCTCAAGCTGCATTTCCACACCAAAACTTAGACCACAAGGGACAGGGCCATCTGTGGCTCCACTCGAGCCACCGCCTTTCCCTGAAGACCTTCCTGGACAGAAATTATACCATCATGTGTAAAGTCCTAGAAGAGAAAACCTGAAGACCTTCTTGATAGAAATTATACCATCATGTTTAAAGTCCTACAAGAGGAAACCTGAAGGCACCACCCGTGATCAAACTCTCCATCGAGTCAACCGTTAACCTCCATTATAGCAAGGAAAAGTAAAATGATTTCAGCCGTTGTCACAGAATGGGACTTTTCAGTGCCCTCAGGAGAAAACAAAATCCAATAAGAGGCCCAAAGAAAGGCGCTAAGCCCTAACAAAGAGGCCAAGAGTTTAAGCCACTGAAAAACCCTGCCCTGTGGAATTTTACACCGAGGTTCAGTGTTGCTTCCAGCATACAAGATCAATGCTTTCATTTTTCTCTCATGTGTTCTGGCAGGGTCTGCTGAATCCACAGACTACAATAAGCTATTTACTTAGCCACAGAATTTACTAAACAGTTTCTCCTCTGTGTGTGTGGACTGGGTGGGGGAAGAACAAAAACCTGCTCTTTCAATCAAATCAAAAGGAATGAAATGTGGTAAGGGACAGGGGACAAAGCCTGGGTGTGTGACCACAAAAGGTGCTGATTTTGTTATATAAAACTGTATGCTTTAAAAAAATCATTCAAATGGTTCTGGAAGGTCTCTTGAACAAAACCTGCCCTTTCTACACTTTGCCCATCTGATCCCCTGGGTAGTCTGTCAGCCCTTTAAATGATACTAAGAAGGGACAAATATTTCAGAGAACTAAGCTATGCTTCTACTTCAACATGCTGCGTCAGCATGCAGCTCTCACCGGAGGCAGCTCAATAGTCTAGCATAAGATACATGGATGAAGGCGCACTTCTGCTGGTAAGCTGTTCTTTCAGGGAGGTGCTGGAGAACTGGTTAGCTGAGCCATGGTATAGTGAGGTGCTGGAGGACTGGTTAGCTGTCTTTATGGTATAGACAGATGCTGGAGGACTGGTTAGCTGTCTTTATGGTATAGACAGATGCTGGAGGACTGGTTAGCTGTCTTTATGGTACCATAATTTTTCACACCCTCAGCACTGTTGACATTTGAGCAATAACTTTTTGGAAGCTTCCCCATCCTTTGTAAGATTATGTAAGTGACACCCACAGCATCTATATTAAAAAAAAAAAAAATGACTCTGGGGAGCCCAGGAGATGGCTCAGCAGGTAAAGAGCTTGCCACCCGGTGACCTGAGTTCGATCCCTTACGTGGGACTTACATGGTGGAGACACCCAAAAAGCTGTTCTCTGGCCTCCACACACGGTAGGGCATAATTCCCACCCTGTCCCCAACACACACAAATAAATAAATGTAATTAAAACTGTTACGTGACTATTGGCATTGCCAGGTGTCCCAGGAAGGAGGACAAAGTTGCCCCCACCTGAAAACTACAAATCTGAAAGTAGCTAAAATTAAGTGGTAGAAGTACTTGGCCACATTATTGTAAAGATCCAGTGTGTGACTCTGGAAACAATACCGACAGGAGGCAGGGGTTGGATATTTAAAACAAAAAGCAAAAAAGTGAGTGAGACCCGCCTCACAGTTGGCGGCAGTAACAAGAGGGAGCACAGAGTGATGTCATCTGAAAGTGTGAGCTCAAAGCTTAGCACCTTTACAAAGGCTGAGGAGAAAGCAAAACCATGTGCAAAGAATACATAACCCATGACCACCTGCCAAAGCTAGTGGTGAGAGATGACGCGGAGGAAGATGACAGGGTGTTGCTGGAGGACTATAGCTGTCTTCATGTTACAATTGATTTTTGAAAATGAGGTGTGTGTGTACGTGCACGCGCAGGCATGTGTATGTGCATGCGTGCAATAAATGAGGAGGTAAAAGCACCTGCTGGCAAGCTGAGTGCCATGAGTTCCATCCCCAGGATTCAATATAGAAGGGAAGAACCAACTCTCATAGGTCATCCTGACTTCCACATGTTCATCACGCATGCACGTCCCAATACATGTAAATATACACACATGCACTCCCAGGAAATGCAACGCAATTTAAACACACACATCCATGCAGCTAACAACCTGCATGGATGTGTTAAGGGTGGGAGTATAGCTCAATGATAAAGCCAGAGCCAAACACATGCAACAGCCTGCATTAGATCCCCAGTGCCGCATGCCCAGACACACCAAGAAACAACAAAAGCCTGACCGCAGCGAGCATTTTTACTGACTGTTGGAGCTTCGAGTAACTCTAGTTTCTTATTTCTGCCTTTCTGCTTGTGCTTTTAGCCAGAAGACTTCCTTAGCATATGATGGGGGAAGGGGGCTAAGAACTTTTTCATGTGTAAATAAGGCTTGTGATTCCATTCATGATGTCAATCATTCTGTCTCTGAAAACTCAGCAGGAAAGCTGCCTCCGCCTGGACAAGATCACCAGTCCCTCTAAGCCATAAAGTCTGGACCTAAGAAGTTCGGGCATTTAGTCTGTGTCTTTATGTCCTGAGACCCTGAAATGGCAGTATTCTGAGGAAACCAAGTTCTACTATGTCCCCTAACTTCGAAGAGCTCAGGCAGGGGTAAATTCTAAAGCTGGGGAAAAAATTGCCAGTTTCCTCTGACTGCTAGACCACCTGAGATCTACAAACAGAAGCCACCTTAATGTTGAATATGCTGATTTATGCTTATATCTGCACATATAAGGTTTACATTGCCTACAGTTCAATACAGATTTGTGGGTTTAGAAAACCGTGAAATTTCAATAGCCATTCATCTGTAGCTCAATTGGGAGAGCTTCCTTAGCGTGCACAAAGCCTTGGGTTCTACACCAGCACACGTAAGACAGGTATGGCTGCACATGCCTGTAATCTAAGCAGCCTGGGCTACATAAGACCCTGTCTTAAAAGAAAACTTACATAGACACTGTGTTTAAACTCTTCACTCTTCAAAGAAGCCCCCTGATTGTTCATTGATATAAAACACACCAAATATAAACGCGCTCCCAGCGTTGGTCCAGTATTTTTCAAAAGCATCTCTATCTATACTCAATGATTCAACTTTAAATCAATTGGGAGAAATTAGTTTGGACAGATTATTTTGTAATCCAAGCACTTGTGCAGCTGGGGGGGGGGGGTAGAAATGAAAGCTCCAGGCCAGTCTGGGCTACACAGTCTCAAAATAGCTATGCAATAATATATAATATACAATATTTACTTCAAATAACCAACATGGTAGTGTCCAGCTCAGATTGTTTTGTCATCTTTAAGCTAACTGCATTTCTAAAAGAGAAGTTGAAAAACTTGTACATGTAAAATTTATACTTACTTAGAAACCTCAATCAAACACACATTTAACAAACCCTTAGTACTTCTTCTGATACTCCTTAATGGTCAGAAAAGTGGAATTAGGAAGCATCTTCTCCCCCTTCCTCCCTTCCTGTCCTGATTAGGAACATGATGTCCAGTAGCCCAGCTGTCGACGTTTGAGCCGGGGCAGCCAGAAATGTCACTGAACATCCACCTAAACTGGATTTGTGTTTTTCTGGACCAATCACTTATACAGCCTCACTAATCCCATTATCAATCGTTTTCATTCAGTAAAAATAGTACCACATGGTGGCCACCAGGGGGCGGTCAAGTCCACTAGCACACAGACTATTGTTTGAGGGCCCAGGGCATGGCCTCTTCTGCACAACCCAAGGAGTGGAGGTTTCCTCCTATGAAGCAGTTTCAACGAGACCGAAGCTGACCCTGTTTTATGCAGATTTCACAGCAGCACACACGAATGCCATAGGAATGGAACTGAAACATATCCTAGGTAACACTGAGCTTCCTAACGTTTAACAGGTAAGAGCCGGTCACATTCATGTTTGTTTGGGGGTGGAGGGCACAAACTAATAATAATTAGTAAATAAAAAATTGTAAAAGAGAAATGGAGTTCACAATACAAAACTTCCCACAAAGAAAGACCTTGGCAAACACTCTTGAGGCAGGCAAGCAGCAGGGATAGTTTAGCCACCTAGGACTCCACTGTTTGGGCCGTGTTGTGTACATCCTCCTCCTAACTTCATGATCCTGGTTAGGACAGGAAACGGGGAAGGACGGACGAGTAAGATGCTCCCTGGGCAGCCTGACACCCAGAACTACATGTACTATGTGCAGACGCATGTGCGCGCGCGCACGCGCGCACACACACACACACACACACACACACACACACACCTCTGAACAATGCACCCCACAAGCTGTTGGTTGTCTAGGACGCCTACCTGCATCAAGCCGCATGCACACCGGGCTCTGAACAATGGAATACCCTTTCTCCTCCCTTTACCCCTCAGCAGCCCCTAAGCTGAGACAGATTCTGCTCAGCCACACTAGAGTTAGGTCTGAGTCTGTGATCACATGAACTAGTTTGGGATGAACATGCCACAAAGGCCCGCGCAGCCCTCTACGTGAATCTGTAGGGGAAACCCTCGATTTTCCATCATGTGCCTATGTGTTATTGGATGCATACATGATCCCATGCAGTGTGGGAAAGGGCACGTGCACTGAGCAAAGGTCTGCTACCCAAATCTTCCAGTCACAATAGAGAACTATGTAAACACACCCCTAGCAACCAAACTCCTCCTTCCTTGGGCACCCTCACCTGTGTGGCCCCACTGTCACTCTTGACAGTGTATCTGGCCTGCCCTATCACTCTGCTTAGAATAAAGTTACCATGCTTCTTTGCAAATCTGTGTGGGTCTTTATTGCAGTCCTCAAATATGAAGGTCAAGAATGCGTAAATACTCACCCCGGGACCCACCAGGGCAACAATCTCAGTGAAGTATTATACAAGATATTTAAAGAAGAAATAATACTGATTTTATATGAACTCTGAAAACAAAGAGGAACTCTTCCCAAATTATAAGTTTGTTATTTAAAAAAAAAAAAAAACCGGATGGCTCACACCTTTAATCCCAGCACTTGGGAGGCTGAGGCAGGTGGATCTCAGTAAGCTCGAGGTTGGCCTGGTCTACAGAGCGAAAACTTGAAAACCACTGTGCTACATTAAAAAAAAAGAAGAAAAAAAACCGGACATGATAGTATCTGCCTGTAATCCTTACTTTGGGGAGGTATTGAGGCAGAAAGATCAAAAATTCAAGGTCCTAGGCAGGATGTAAAGGTATATACATTTAATCCCAGAATTTTTTTTGGTTGTTTTTTTTAATATGTATTTATTATGTATACAATATTCTGTCTGTGTGTATGCCTGCTGGCCAGAAGAGGGCACCAGACCTCATCACCTCATTACAGATGGTTGTGAGCCACCATGTGGTTGCTGGGAATTGAACTCAGGACCTTTGGAAGAGCAGGCAATGCTCTTAACCTTTGAGCCATCTCTCCAGCCCTTAATCCCAGAATTAAGGAGGTAGAAACAGGTGGATCTTTGTGAGTTCCAGACCAGTCTGGTTTCTATAGCAAACCCCAGGCCAGGTCTCCTAGGGCTACATAGTGAAATCCTGTCTCAAAAGAAAAGAGAAAGAAAGAAAGAAAGAAAGAAAGAAAGAAAGAAAGAAAGAAAGAAAGAAAGGAAGGAAGGAAGGAAGGAAGGAAGGAAGGAAGGAAGGAAGGAAGGAAGGAAGGAAGGAAGGAAGGAAGGAAGGAAGGAAGGAAGGAAGGAAGGAAGGAAGGACTAAGTTTAAGGCCAAAGGCTAGCAGGGGCTTGAAAGCCTTTCTCAACAACAAAAAGTTCTCTATCAAGTATAATGACATATGCCTTTAATCCCAACACTTGGAGTCAAAGGCAGGCAGAGTTCTAAGAGCTGAAAGCCAGCTAAGCCTATGTAGAAGGTTACGGGACAGTCAGGGCTACATAGTGAGGCTCTGCTTTCCATTATGTGTTTTAGATGTATTTACTTTAATGTGTATGTTTTGCCAGCGTATATGTCTGTGCACCACATGTGTGTCTGATGTCAAAAGAGGTCAGAAGATGGTGCTGAGTCCCTGGAACTGGAGTTATAGATGACTGTGAACTACCTACCATGTAGGTGCCTGGAAAGAATCTAATTCCTCTGCAAGAGCAGCAAGTGCTCTTAACCACGGAGCCATCGCTCCAGCCCCATGAGACCTCATCCTTAAAGAAAAAAAGTTCTAATGAAAAGCTAAGTATCTGTAACTGAGGAGCATCCCTTCAAATACCGGCACATGATCGCTACTGTAGCCTCCCGTGTCCTGGCCCGGCAATCTAACAAAGCATTCTCAGCTTTCTTCTGACGCCCTCAGAGATACCCACAACTCCATCAACTTCCCACGCCCATCCTCTCCCTGTTCAGACACTCCTCTCTCCTCCCAGGAGGAAGGACCCCAGCCCATTGCAGCTGGTCACCCAGGACCACGAAAGGTTTTGCCGTCAGTCCCAGCTCACTTGGAACAGGCGTGCGTGGCAAGTGGAGCAGGCAGGGTGGCCTAACTCTTGCTGTGCACGCTAATGAACATGCACGCACACACATGAGCATGTAGGCACACCACTTTATCAGCTCACAGATGACTGATCAGGGGGACAGGCAATCTCGCCATTACAGGGTAATGTTGCCCACACATGTCATTGCCTAGCAACAGGAGGGGCAGGCAAATCTCAACATTGGGGTGTAATGAATCATTCAGTGACTACTGCTCACAAGTGGTTATTTGACAGGAAGACAGACACATCGGGTTTGATTTCGAATAAGACTTTGGAGAATTCTGTAGACTCAGATTGGGCGAAGCAGCAGGTGTTTCACCAGCAGCCAGGCTTCTAAACAAAGGTGGCTCTGGCTATCTGGTAGGACGTATGTATTTGTTGAAAAACAACATGAAAACTAAAAATATGGGTTTTGATGGCCTTGTTCTGCCTGAGCTCCAACTTCTAAGCCTTCAGAAACGGTTAATGAATGGTGAGCATGTAAGAAGGTGAGACGATTAACTGTGTGGTCCCCATGGAAATAGCTCCCGTAAGTGGGCAACCTGAGCATCTAACACCTGCCCCAGCCAGCTCCTGGATTTGGAACGAAATTGGAAAAAGAACCACATACGAGCGAGATCTGTGTCTGGATCGCCTGTTGTTAGGATCCACTTGGGTTTTTTCCTTCTGTCGCCTTAATACGGCTTCCCACTGAGGCGCCGAGTCAACCATGTCATTCTCCTGCCGTATTCTGAAAAAGACAAAGCAGGCATCTGGAGTTCACGTCTATGCTAGGCACGGTGAAACTCACCTGGGGTCTCAGCACTCAGCAGGCTGAGGTGGGAAAACGAGGGGTCTGAGCCACCCTGGGCAGCAGAAAGAGACCCTGTCTCGGGGCCAATGAAGAAATGTGAAGTTAACATCCACCCATGAATGAGAAGGGAAACACAATACACCAAAATCTACAGACACAACGAAGGCAGTCCTAGTTTCTCAGCCACTTGAACCTCGCTTTTCAGGCAAGAGAATGGCAATTCGATTACATTATAAAAGCTGGGGATCAAAACCTGGATTAATATATCCTTAAGTAGGCATATGTACCTGTAAGTATATACACATAAGTATACAGTGTTCATAATAAGTCTATAAAACAAAGTAACTTATTTTAAAGTATAGCCTTATGGTTTTCTGTATATCCTTTGACTGCTGTAATCTCTCTTTTCATCTCTAATTTTATTGATCCAAGTCTTCTTTCTCTATCTTACGGTTAATTTGGCTGAAAACTTGGCAATCTTGTTAATATTTTCACAGAACCAACTCTTCACTTCACTGATCCCTTCTACTGTCTTTATCACTTCTATCTCCTTCACCTCAGCCCCGACTTTGATTATCTCTTCCTGTTTACTATTTACGGGCGTTGTCTGTTACTGTTTTTCAAAGCTTTCCAGGGTATGATTAAGCTATTAAATCACGCTCTCTCTGGTTTTGTTGTGTGGGTGGGTAGCCATCAGCTGTCCTCTGGGGATGGCCTTCACTGTCCCACAGATGTGGGCATGTTGTGTTTCCATTTTCATCCAATTCTAGCAATTTTTCATTTCCACCCTGATTTCTTCCTTAACTCGTGTATCACCTAGATATGTGTTACGTAGTCTCCATGAGTTAGTGTATTTTTCACAGTTTCCTGCGGAGATAATATTCAGCGTTCCTCCACGGTGGTCAGAGAGAATGAAGGACATTAGTTCACTTTTCCTAAGTTTGTTAAGACTTTCTCTGTCCCCTCTATGTGGCTGGTTTTGGAGGAAGTTCTATGAGTGCCGAGAAGACTGTGTATTCTTTAGTTTGAGTGAAATGCTCTGTAGATCTTGGGACCATCTGATTTCTGATGTCATTCAACTCCACTCTTCCTCTGTTTAACTCCTGTCCAGGTGACCTGTGTATTGCTGAGAATGGGGTGCTGAGGCCACCTGCCACTGACTGTTGGGCTTAATCTGTAATTTTAGATCTCGTTTTACAAAGTTGGGTATGCCCACGGTTTGGTGTGTATGTGTTTATGTTGTAATATCCTTATGATGGATTGTTCTGTTGGTGAATATGAGGTGACCTTCCTTATTTCTTCTAATTTGTTTCCGGTTGAAGTCTCCTTGGTCAGACATTAGGCTAACTATACCTGCTTGTTTCTTGTTCTGTTTGCTTGGAATACCTTTTCCCACCCTTTCACCCCAACGTATCTACCATTAATGGTGAAACATTTTTATTTGAGGCACAAAAAGATGGATCCTATTCTCTAATCCTAATTGCTAGTCTGTGCCTCTTTGTTGGGGAATTGTGATCATTCATATAAAGAGCTATTATTGAGAGACATGTATCAATTCCTGTCATTTTGTTGATTTTGCGGTATTCTGATAGGCCTCTTTTGATTTCGTGCACTGATACTGTTTGTTTATTTCCCACGAATTCAGGTTGCTGAATCAATCGCTGTGCAGACCTTTGAGATGGGAAGGAGTGGACCTAGCTGGGGGTGTAACTGAAGGAAGTCACGGGGGAGCCACACAGGACTATGGGATGGAAAGGAGCCTCGTCATGGGAGTTTGCGCAGCTCAAAGGACCCTGTTCCATCTTCTCATTGTAGAATAAATTAGAAGTGAACATACATGCTATGGGCATTAACATTAGAAATATAACAAAGCCTGTGACCCGAGGCCATCAGCCACCTTTGAACCTAGCACTTCCATTTAACAACATCACACGGGAACATACGCTCATTTACAGACTGGGCACAAGTGTGTGCGCACACATTTTCATGGCCACGCCCACAGACAGGCTTGCTGTAAGACCTGACACACTCTCAGGACTGAGGGCTCAGGGCTCAGTTCAGGTCAGTAGCAGATCTGTCCTCACCCATAGGAACTCATGCCTTGATTTCTGGGTTTAGGGTTAGACGTACAATTCTGGATGACATCACTGTACAGTTCATGGGCAGGCTTAAATATCACTACATATGTCCATATGTTTATCAGGAAGTCAGAAGCTTCAGTCTTCTCAAGCTCAATTCTCCTAGCAAGACTGATATGGCTTAGTTCAGCAATACTTTCCTCTAAGAACAGACATTTACAAGGAAGACCAGTGTGTTAGGAATAATCTTAAGACGAGCCTCTCCGCTAACGCAAATAATTCCGATCAAATCAAATTTGATGGAATAAAAGATGCCCATGTTTAATAAATGCAGCGCCCCTGGGTGGCCGGGAGCATGGCAAGGAAAGTGGGGGGGGGGGAACCACCCAAAACCTGAGACCACGTGTCCTTTCCTGGGCTGCAGCCTAAATAGCCCATGGCAGTGGTCCTGACCCTCCCTGGGGAGGGGTCAGAGCTTGGCGGGCTTTCCCGGAGGTGGAGTCTAGACCAAGGCAACTCCCAGGAGGAGGGGGCTTCCAAAGATCCAAAGATAGATGCCGGGTATTACAAAGTGCTGTTTGTATATTCTCATCCATTGTAGAATTCAGAAGGTTGCTGGGCGGTGGTGGCGCACGCCTTTAATCCCAGCACTCGGGAGGCAGAGGCAGGCGGCGGATCTCTGTGAATTCCAGGTCAGCCTGGTCTACAAGAGCTGTCTCGAAAAACCAAAACAAAACAAAAGAAACGTAGCCAGGCATGATGGCGCTCACCTTTAATGCCAGAACTCAGAGGGCAGAAGCAGAGGCGAGTGAAGGATTGGTGGAGGAGTTCTGTGACTGTGAGGCCAGCCTGGTCTAAAGAGCAAATTCTAGGCCAGTCACCTACACAGTAAGAAAAACAACTTCCTAGACACACACGTGTGGATTTCCTCTACCTTGCCAGTAGAAAGGACTAAATCAAAAATGAATTTCAGATTATATCACATACTTTTATTTCTCAAACTGAAAGTCTCACGGAAGGCCAGTGAAGGTCTACCAGTTCCTAGCCTCATGACCCAGGCGCCGTGAAGACGCATGCCCTCTACCGGTGATGCTCTTCCATAAATATTCTAACAGAGGCATTAAAAATGCAAGATTCCGTGCAGTCCCAGGAGAAGCGGTCTTCCTGAGCGATGCTGGCGTGGACGCCCAAGTCCAGCTTGTAATGAAGTCTGAAATTACATGCTTACAAAAAGCCTCGGTTAATGATGCCTCATTACAAGAATAAAAGTGTCATTTCTTCTGCGACGGAACTGTTTCAGAAGACACAGGTGCAATCTGGGAATTAAAAAAAACCCTAGCACTTATAATCAAGGATATTGTATCACTCAGTCCTTAAAGGAGGGAGTTATCTAATCCTTGTTTTAAAAAATCATTAGCAAAAAAAGGAAATATGTATGTTAAAAAAAAACCATATCTCCTATAATTTTTTTTTTCTTTTCTTGAGATGGTTTCGTCATGCTGAGCCCCCTGCCTTGATCTCCCAAACGCTGAGACTACAGCCACGCACCACCTCCGGGCGCCGTTCTTAAGTCGTGTTTATGCACAGGTGTGGAACACGCATGTGCTTTTCGCTGCCTTCCAGCTACGCTTTAATTATGATCTAAGGATTTACATCATGAGGAAGAGAAAATAGGAAAAGCCCTGAACTGGCACACGGCCTTTAAAAGCAGCGCAGTCAGGGAATTATCAAAGGGGAAGGGGGCCCATCATCATTTACGGTACAGATCTAGTAGTTTCAAATGCTACAAGAGATGAACCTCAAAACCCAGCGCACTTCCTGCCTGTGTCTCGGTCTCTTCCTAAGCCTGTACTTGACACACGTTGTCTGTGTCCCCACCTGAAAGGAGAGTCACAAGATAGTGTGGGAAATACATCAAGGAAATGTAACAAGGCTTTTGTTTTTAAATTAATGTATGGGAGAGAAGGAGGAGGGGGAAAAGAGGAGAGGGGAAGAGGGCAGTGGTGGCACAGTCCTTCAATCCCAGCACATGGGAGGCAGAGGCAAGTGGATCTCTGGGTTCGAAGCCAGTCTTTGTCTACAGAGTGAGTGCTAGGACAGCCAAGGGCTTCACAGAGAAACCCTGTCTCAAAAACGGTGGGGAGATGTGAAAGGTGGATGGGGGGATGGGGGAGATGGGAAGACGGGGAGAAAGGGAGAATGCTTTTAAACAGTCATCTCGACTACTACAGGGCAGAGGTATTCTAATACATTTTCTCCACTTCCCAGCAGGCCTTCCAGTCCACCTTTCCCTAGATTACACGCAATTTAGATTCTGACCATGTTTGACACTTAATTAAAGCTCGCTAAGGTCGTGAAGATGAAATGCTACATCATCGCCTGATAGCAAAGTGAAGATAACAGCAATTTTTATTCCTTTCTTTCTCCTCAATTAGAGCCCTGCCTCTTCCGCACAAATCTTCACATTACTGAACGAATTCTTACACAGATCTCCTGGGACTATCCTCTGTCCTCTCCCTTGATCAGCTTTGGTCTTAAGGAGACCTTCTTCCTTTACACCAGCTCTTAACTCACTTCTAAGTCACCGAGATTAATGCTGAACCTCAAGCCTTCCCGAGCAAACGCATAAGCCCCGCTCTCGAGTTCTGTCTCATTCCCGCTCGGCCACACTCTGACTCGGCGGAGACTTTGGGCAAACCGCTTATCTCCTTTGGTCAGGTCTCAGTTTGCTCATGTGAAAAATTATTACAAAGATCCTTTCTATCCTTAAAACTCAATGTTCCTCTATTTGTGTTTTCTCCAAGCCAATAAGACTCTGAGGCCAAGCTCCTCTCTCTGACTGAGACGTAACACCATAAC